AAACTCTCTGTCATCGATTTCACAACTTCCAAAACTACCACCTGTATCAGTTTCTGATAACATCATCCATGTAGGAGGTAAACATCCCATGGACATACCTATCAAAGATAAATTTCCAGGAATGGTTGATGGTTTACCAGATGGAGTAGAGGAAACAGACGTAAAGAACATTCTTTACAAATTTAAATATACTGTCGGTTTCCATGGACACTACGAGAAGGGATTGAAGAACGGCACCAAAATTGGTGGGTACTTCGTTAATGGAAGAGATGGAGTAAGTAGGGTAGTTACTTACATAGCAGACGAAAATGGGTATAGGCCGAAATTCAAGTTCATCAATTTAGGATTGGACTCTCCTGATACACCTAAGGAAGACACGGAGAAAACTTTTGGGCTCAAAAGCTTTGAATTCGTTTGGTATCCAATTGAGTGAATAATGTTTTGGATTTTTTCTGAATCGAAGTATATGAAATGATTTTTTTGTTTATGTACATATCCGAAAAATATATTATAGATTTAAAGTATTTCATAAATTCCAGGTTGAATTAATAAAACTGAGACTGGAGTATATGCGTTTGAATTTCAATGCTAATGTATCTATACATATATGAACATAATGAACTTGATGTACGAGTATATACAAATAACTAGAGTAGGTTTTGGTGAAATGCAGAAAAAAATTGATAAAATCAGTTACTGATTGTTGAACAATTAGAGCCTAGATGGTGAACCGGAAAAATGCTGCGAAAAGTAGAACTTGTTGGACTTTCATCCAAAAGCACTTCGAAATCAGAATGGTACTTATCTATTTATCTATATCTCGAACTCAATGACAACTTTCAGTCAGTCAAAGTTACTGTCCATACGGATTCCTTTATTGACAAATATTCAATAACCCATTATAATATATTTTGAAATATTTAATTCCAAGTTATTTGAAGTAGACCAGGCATTGAAGCTGTCCAAATCAGACTGAAGCAAAACAACGTCAATGTGATGCTGTATTTCCTTATGAATTTTAGATCATCTGCATGAAGGTAGAATGTGATAAATATTTATCAATATCATTGATTAATACATTAAAAAGTATCGGTCCACAATGATAGCCTTGAGGAATGCCAGACAATACTGGTATTGCATCAGATTTAAAATTTTTAATACGTATGCATTGTTGACGACCAACTGAAAAACTTTTGAGCCATGGAACTAAACTGAGGTTAATACCAATAGAACTGAGTTTTTCAAGTAATAAGGTATGATTCACCCTATCAAACGACTTTGAAAAATATGTATATATACCATCAACTTGAGTCTTTTTGCAAAGGCGTTCAACAGAAAGTTTTCGATATGGGTTACTGACGGTCGATTTACCTGACCAAAATCCATGTTGTTCAGGAAAGATAATATTTGAAGTTTGTATTGACAAATAGCCTATTCATCAAACACTTCAGGAATTGTTGATTGGATACAAAACAGGCATTATAAACTGTCTTTCCAGTATGTGGGAAAGCAGCCTATCTGCAGTGACAGATTGAATATGTATGTTAATGGTTTT